GGAAAATGGCCAAATTTTCTCAGAATTTTTTTTTACTAGAGGAGAGTTTTTCTGCTTTATACTATCATATCAATCAGAAATTCAATTAAATCTCTGAAGAAAATAGAATTTTTGACAAAAAAAAGCAGTTTTCAGACCGGTCGATTTCTCATAAAAAAAGTAAGGCTATAGTCTTGGAAAAATGGCCAAATTTTCTCAAAATTTTTTTTCTAGAGGGAGGTTTTTTCTGCCTTCATACTAATTCTAATCAATCAGAATTCAATTAAATCTTTGCAAGAAAATAAGGAATTTTTGACAAAAAAGCAGTTTTTCAGACCGGTCGATTTCTCATAAAAAAGTAAGGCTATAGTCTTGGAAAAATTGGCCAAATTTTCTCGAATTTTTTTTGAGGAGGTTTTTTTCTGCCTTCATACTATCATAATCAATCCAGAATTTCAATTAAATCTCTGCAGAAAAAAGGAATTTTTTGACAAAAAAAGCAGTTTTCAGACCGGTCTGATTTCCTCAATAAAAAAAGTAAGGCTATTAGTCTTGGAAAAATGGCCAAATTTTCTCAAAAATTTTTTTTTCTAGAGGAGGTTTTTTCTGCCTTCATACTATCATAATCAACCAGAATTCAATTAAATCTTGCAAGAAAATAAGAATTTTGACGAAAAAAAGCAGTTTTCAGACGGTCGATTTCTCATAAAAAGAGAGCGATATAGCTCTTGCGAGTCGAAAAATGGCAAAATTTTCTCGAAATTTTTTTTTCTAGAGGGGGTTTTTTCCTTACATACTATCATAATCAACTCAGAATTCAATTAAATCTGTAAAAAATAGGATTTTTGACAAAAAAAGCAGTTTTCAGACCGGTCGATTTCTCAATAAAAAGTAAGGCATAGTCTTGGAAAATGGCCCAAATTTTCTCAATTTTTTTTCCTAAGAGGGAGGTTTTTTCTGTCCTTAATCTATCATATCAACCAGAATTCAATTAAATCTGAAAGAAATAGGAAATTTGTGACAAAAAAGCAGTTTTCAGACCGGTCGATTTCTCATAAAAAAGTAGGCATTAGTCTTTGGAAAAATGGCCAATTTTTCTCGAAATTTTTTTTTTCTAGAGGAGGTTTTCTCTGCCTTCATATATTCATAATCAATCAGAATTCAAATTAAATCTTGAATAAATGGAAATTTTTGACAAAAAAAGCAGTTTTCAGACCGGTCGATTTCTCATAAAAAAAGTAAGGCTATAGTCTTTGGAAAAATGCCAAATTTTCTCAAAATTTTTTTTTCTAGAAGGGTTTTTCTTGCCTTATACTATCATAATCATACCAGAATTCAATTAAATCTTGCAAGAAATACAGGAATTTTGACAAAAAAGCAGTTTTAGACGGTCGATTTCTCATAAAAAAAGTAAGGCTATAGTCTGGAAAAATGGCCAAATTTTCTCTAAATTTTTTTTTCTAGAGAGGTTTTTCTGTCTTTATACTATCATAATCAATCAAGAATTCAATTAAATCTGTAAAAATAAATAGGAATTTTGAACAAAAAGCAGTTTTTTCAGAGGTCGATTTCTCATAAAAAAGTAAGGCTTATAGTCTGGAAAAATGGCCAATTTTTCTCGAAATTTTTTTTTCTAGAGAGGAGTTTTTCTGTCTTTATACTATCATAATCAACCAGAATTCAATTAAATCTTGCAAGAAAATAGGAATTTTGACAAAAAAGCAGTTTTTCAGACCGGTCGATTTCTCATAAAAAAGTAAGGCTTTAGTCTGGAAAAATGGCCAAATTTTCTCGAAATTTTTTTTTCTAGAGAGGGTTTTTTCTGCTTTATACTATCTATAATCAACAGAATTCAATTAAATTTGCACGAAAATAGGAATTTTTTGACAAAAAAAGCAGTTTTCAGACGGTCGATTTCTCATAAAAAAGTAAGGCTAGTTAGTCTTGGAAAAATGGCCAAATTTTCTCGAATTTTTTTTTTCTAGAGAGTGTTTTTCTGCTTTATACCTATCATAATCAAATAAATTCAATTAAATTCTGGTATAAATAGGAATTTTTGACAAAAAATGCAGTTTTTAGATCGGTCGATTTTCTCCATAAAAAAAGTAAGGCTATAGTCTTGGAAAAATGGCCAAATTTTTCAAATTTTTTTTTCTAGAGAGGGTTTTTCTGCCTTTATACTATCATAATCAACCAGAATTCAATTAATATCTGCAAGAAAATAGGAATATTTTGACAAAAAAGCAGTTTTCAGACCGGTCGATTTCTCTCATAAAAAAGT